ATATTTAATTTAATTTAATTTTACTTCATTTTATTTAACTTTATTAATATTATTTTCTTTTATTTGATTTTTAACTCATTAATTAACTTTTTTATTATCTTTTTTTCATTTTATTTTAATTTTCTATTTAATGTAATTAAATTTTATTTTATTTTACTTGATATTTTCTTTTATTTTATTTTGCTTTAATTTTTTATTAAATTATATTTAATTTAATTTAATATTAATTAATTTTACTTTACTCTATTCACATTGCTTTATTTTATTAGTTTTTCTCATATTAATTAAATTTTTTATTAAACTTAATTTTTTTCATTTTATTTTAATATGCTATTTAATATAATTTAATTTGAGTTTATTTTATTTTACTGTATTTTATTTTATTTTATTTTTTTACTTCATTTTATTTCACTTTATTGATTATATTTTCTTTTATTTGATTTGTAACTTATTAATTAACTTTTTTTATTATATTTTTTTCATTTTATTTTAATTTTCAATTTAATGTAATTAAGTTTTATTTTATTTTACTTGATATTTTCTTTTATTTTATTTTGCTTTAATTTTCTGTTTATATAAATTAAATTTAATTTAATATTCATTAAATTTTTTTGTTTGATTTTTCTCATATTAAATAAATTTTTTTTTATTAAACTAAATTTTTGTCATTTTATTTTAATTTGTTATTTAATATAATTCAATTTAAGTATATTTTTTTTTACTGTATTTTATTTTATTATGTTTTATTTTTTTATTTTATTATATTTGATTTAATGTAATTTTGCTTCATTTGACTTTACTTCACATTATTTTATTTTATATGATTTTTCTCATATTTATTAAATTTTTTTAATAATTTTTTCTAATTTCATATTAAATTTTAAATTTTTTTTATTTTAGTTTTCTATATATATAATTAAATTTAATTTTTTTTTGATTTTACTGTATTTATTTTCTTTATTTTTCCTTTTATTTTATTTTGCTTTAATTTTCTATGTTATTATATTTAATTCAATTCAATTTATTTCATTTTACATTGCTTTATTAACATTATTTTTTTTATTATTTGATTTTTCTCATATTAATAACAATTTTTTAAATTCAATTTTTTCATTTTATTTTAATTTTCTATTTAATATAATTTAATTTAAGTTTATTTTATTTTACTGTATTTAATATTTTATTTTCTTTTATTTTTCTTTGTTTTCTATTTTATTATATTTAATTTAATTTAACTTTATTTCATTTTACTCTACTTGATTCACATTATTTTATTTTATTTGTCTGTGCAATTTTTTTATTTTTATTTTCTATTGAATATAATTAATAACTAAGTTAAATTATTATTTTTTTATTTTATTTATATTTATATTGATTTCTTAAGCTTCTTACATTTTTGCCTACTTGTAATGAACTATTAGGATTTCATCGTTTAAATACTGGTTCGCAATTATGCTTTTCTGGGAGCAAATCTAGTTTTGTACTGTATACATTCGAGTATGCTGCAGTACAAATGTTATGTATCTAAATAACTTTGTTCACTGCTACTGTTCGGACAGGATTTGAGCTTAACGTAAAAGCAGCTAATACTTTCAAATACAAGCATATATATCTATATATATATATGTACATATATAAATATGTATGTTTATATGGTATATTGAAGTGCATTTCAGTTCGCTTTATAGATGTGAATGTAGGTACGAGGAATGGCTGAAAAGCTCGCGGCCGAAAGTACTTAATAAAACAAGTCTCTAGTCTCTCTCAAGTGAAATTCACTTTTCACTCTTCACTTCGTGATTACAATGCCTTTATACCATTGAAAAATTATTCTTTAGAGCTCTCTTCAAAATAATTTTTCTACGGATGCTCTCAGCTCATTGAAAATCTTCGTCTCCGCAACTCTAAACTGTATGCTGGATGGTCAGCTTTTAAGACATGCCTTGCAACCCGGGCGGCGAGAACTTGTTTTCACTTTGTTCTCATTTTTTTTTTTTTTGCTGACCTTTCCCATCTTTCTGTCCACTGCATTGACTTCTGTTTGGTCTCGGTATCATACTGACGAGTGCAAGTTTTATCGCTGCTTGTTTTGTTTGTTTTACCCAAAGCGCACTAGTTTTTTATTTTCAATTGCTCATGCAAAATCTGTCCAGCTCGTTCTTAGCTAATCTGTAATCCTTCAGCTGCGAGTATTTGAAACAATTTAATTCTTCGACCGTCCAGTCTACTTTTTCGACTTTCAGCACATTTTCGGTCAGGACCGTCATTGGGCACACCGGGTGGCGATCCTCTTCACAAGTATCTCTTCGTTGTTGAAACAGCCTAGATCATGTTTTCACCATCATATATGAAGGAGCAGAATACTGGAGAATCGTGGTCATCCCTTTAAATATTTCTTCCGGTTTTTTTTTTGTTATTTACAAGGAATTTAATCCCAGCGCGTAACCCCGAATTGCGAGAATTTCCAGTTTCCATTGGCATAGTTCTTTTGGTTGTTCCAGGAACGAAATGTTAATAAATCTAACAAAACAAGTTGTGTTGTCATGACACCCGCAATTAGTAACGAGATGATATGTCATCTCTAGCTACCTTAGGCCTCGAACTGAACAGCCGCCCCTCGTATGTATAAGCAAATATACTGCAGTTGAAAGTCTATTTTTTGGACTGCATGTTCGCGAAATCTTAGATAAACTGTTTGTTAAAGCTTGTTCTCTACGTTTGAGTGTATCTGTGCGCTTGAGTTTGTGTTCAACTGAACACAATTGGCAAAGAAAGTTGTTTGAACAAGTTTTCCACAAAGAGCTGCATGGTTTTATGGTCACATCATAGACTTCCTGGTTTTAAATGCATTCGTATTCAACTGTCATTGTTCTATGCGTTTTTTTATTGATTTAAAACCAGTCATAACTTTAGAAAGCTTGAGTTTGGTGAAAGGTTTTGCTGCAAATATTATACATACATATATTCCACGCAGACTGGCTTTGTAGATTATCTGCCATTTGGTGCGGCAAGTCAGTGACTTTATGAATAGAAACAGTCGGATGTTTTTCTGAATGCGGTATCTCCTGGGCAGGGTAGGACAGCCTTCCCGAGTCGATTTCTGATATGAAATAAAGAAAATTTCCCAAAAAAACCGACAGAGGCTCGAAGATGCCATAGAGTAAATTGTAAAAAAATCTTTAACGAATTTGCGGGAAAAATATCAAGACCCGAAATAGAGTGTTGTTAGCCTTCACTGTTGTTACTGTTAATCTGCTTCCTTCGGACTGGAAGCGAATGGTTTTGTGATAAACTAGGAAAGACGAAATATATGCAGTTCATAATTTCATCAATCTAGCAACTACCACCAAAGCCAACTCAATAAATCTAATGTAAGCGTGAATTTTGGTAAAAGGAAAAGTCAGTCGGACTTTTGTTGAAATTAGCCAAGGGAGACGATGCGTTTTCATATTGCAAAAAGCAGGTTTATGCCCAACATGACGATAATCAAAGAAAAAAGTAAACTTAACCATGAGCTTTGATCGTCATTGATTTTTTTCGGTTGCGGCTCAGCTGGGGTCCAATCTGACCGAAATTGAATGTAGATATAGAGGGCAATTCGCGAGTTTTTTTCTTTTAAATTAAGTCCCGGTAAGTCTTGCACCCGCTGGGGGAAGCAAAGAAGAACGAGGAAGATCTTTATTCTTTTGAAAAGGTCAGGTGACGAAAGACCTGTCCTCATGCCATGGTCAGCTGTAATCACGTAAAGGGCGTATAAATCATTTATAAGAAAGAAGAAATGGAAATAATTCAATATGAGAGAATCATAACTCTCTCGTGAGTGACATTCAAGACCTTCTCTCAGGTTTCTGTACCATATAGTAGACTGGGAAGTCTTGAAGGATTTAGTTTTTCTTCATAAGGAAAGGACTATACTATTAAATTACAGTGATTCTGCGTTTGATTTCAAAGCTGATGTCGTTGATGGTGTTAACGCTGGATGAAATTATTTACAACACAAAAGATAGCACGACAACAGTGACGTAAGAGCCAAGACGTCAATGCACTGACTGCTTGTTCTTTATCCATTCTAGAGAACGTAGAGCCAGTAGCCATTGAAGTCGATGGACAAAGCCAACATCATCGTCGTACGCTAACAATTATAAGAGATGCTACCTTCTCCATTCAGTTCTTCAACTCGTGCTACTTAAAGAGCCCTCTTGTCTGAAACCTCTTTAAGTATCGAACGGCTAGGCGAGAAGTGAATATCTGGTCTATGGTGGATCGATCGGGTCTTAAGCCACCCAAATGAGGCCGCTTAGTTTATTGACGGAACTTGGGGTATTCAGAGATCTTGATCCACGATAATTGGGGCAGGCTATGGGACTCCTTTCTCATCGATTGGGCACAGCACAACCAGACTAGCTTACTATTATATAATATATACTCTATTCATTCAAAAATTACTACAACCACACAAATACAAATATATCAATATGTAGCATACACATACTAATATATAGCAAACAGTTGTGAAGTTTTTCAAATGTGTATAATCGGATCCGTCATCGAAGTTTGCGGTAGTCTCTTGTTGATACGTTGTTAAAGATAAGTCTCACTAAGCGCAGGAGTGTATAAATATGTATGTATATTCCCTACAGACTAAATATTGACTGCCAATTGAAGGTTTCAACAGCTCAGCCATAGCGTAAATATGTACGCACTCAGTTGAGCTAATATGACCACTGCTACCGGACAACGGACCATGCCAGGCGACGTATCGCAGAAAGCATCTTATCGTCTTTATTTAATTAATAAAGTAAGCAGCGGGTGCGGCGGCTACTGGCATTGGCCGATAAATTGCTTTGAATTTCATGCAAACATACAAACGAGTATGCGCACGCACTGACCTATGGGTGTACATATGTCATTACTTGCCACTAAATGGCACACCAACAACTCCCTTGGAAACCACACATGTAGGACCTGTGTTGGCATACGGCCACAGTTCCTGGTTGACCATGTCGAGTTACAGTCGCTCAGAGCGTTTCGCATACCTAACTCTAGTCGCGCTCTACTACTATGGCCGTCTACTGTGCGTGTTCGACTGGAAGTTGGAAAAGTCAAAGATGCTAGTGCGACCTACAAAATGCACAAACCGCATTCTACTGTTGATTTGGCGCATTTTCATCACAATGATTTTCATCTCGGTAATGCCAAGCATGATGGCACCATTTCAACGTTTATCCATCGATAGCTTTTTAGCGTTCTTTGCGAATTTACAAGTGATCACCGTAACACTCTTCTCCGTTATCTCTTTTCTTATACAAGAACTATCGGAGCGTAAAATATTTAAAATAATTGAAAAAATTGTTAAAATCTACAAGCGAATTTACGGCAAATCGCACGTGCGGCAAATACTCGGCCGAACTTTTGTGTTTTCTGTCATAACGAAATTGCTGCTCAGCTTCTTGGGACTGATCTATGAGGTACCGCTAATCTTGGAAGGTGATCAGTCAGTTAAGAGTTTATGTGGCATCTACCTCTGGTTGGGCACAATATACACCTTGGATGCTTGCTTTCTGGGATTTTTGATCATTGGACAAATGTATACGGCCATGGCGGCGCACTTGGGCGAGATGGTACAGGCAATGAGCGACTATGAGTCTGAAGAACCGCTCAGCACTCTCAGCAAACATGAACGTATGAAACGACTGTGTGTGCATTCGGAGAGTATTGACGATAGCAATAATATTTACTTCGTTTTGTATGGGTTGACGAAGCAGTTTCACCATATTTTTCGCTGGCAACTGATTTACTCAATCTACTACAACTTCGTGATTATACTCATGGTAATGCATAGTTTCATCTGGCAGTATATTTATGCGGGTTATGTGGACTTTTTAGCGTTATTTTCGTCACTTTTCAAACTCTGGAATTTAGCTATGCTCATATTAGCCGCACATGGCGTTGTTGAGAAGTCTCAACTGCCTGATTTACTCAATCTGGATTTGGTGTGTTCGGATATCGACGCGAGATGGGATGAGAGCGTAAGTTAATGAGAGACTGCGTTTTTTGTTGTTGTTGAGACGTAAATACATACTAGTATTGATATGAGAAGAGACTTGAGACGAAGGACAAATCATCGAGCTATAACAGTTCTATATAAATTATCCAGTATACTGTTAAAAAAAATTATAATGATGCTTTATAAGCGACTAAGTAATATTCTGTCGAGCTTTTCCTGCAATTCTGGTGTTTCTCTTGACACTTTTTCTGTATATGAAAGGAGCCACAGTTTGAAGGCAGCTCTAAATAGCTGGTGGATGTTTATGGGAGCCTTTTTATTTCATATCAGAAATACACTCGGAGTCATTGACATTACTAGGTGAGGGCGGCATATGAAATAAAACCATTTTAAACTTTGGCTCAGCCAGGACTCGAACCGACGATACCTTCACATACATTACTATCCACTTGGCTATTGTGGCCGACATTTGGCATTGTAACGTAAAGAAGCTGCCTCCGGGGCGAAAATAGAAAGCGTTAATTACAGTTAAATCAACAAAGATACTGAATATGTGTGAACGCAGAAGCTTAAACTCAACTTCATCTTATTTCAGGCAGTGGAAGTATTTTCAACCTTCCCACTTGGGTGAATATCGTATGGATACTAGTCAAAGCGTTAGCTAGGGCAATGACAATCTGCTCACGAAATTTTATCATTTTCCGGGTGCCAAAGACTTTCCTAACACAGCCTTTTGTGTGGCTTTATGTGTGGCTTTATGTGAGGGGGCTTACCTCTCGCAACTGGAATTACCATCCAAGTGTACCATAAATAAGTAGATTTCAGCCATCTCGCTATCAGATAACTTGCTTATTTTCTACAAGATTCGGTGAAATAAAGAGAGCGAGGGAGAGAGTACTCTATTGACTGCGGTAATTTTCTCTGAAAGGAATCACATAAATATAAGGGCAGACGAGACTCAGAAGCTCTTGAGTATGACTTAATACTAAAGCTCCACCTTCTAGGAAAAAAACTTTTAGAATTCAATGTAATTAATTTATTTCTATTATTAGTCGACCGGTGTAACCTTAGGAAATCACATAAATATAAGGGCAGACGAGACTCAGAAGCTCTTGAGTATGACTTAATACTAAAGCTCCACCTTCTAGGAAAAAAACTTTTAGAATTCAATGTAATTAATTTATTTCTATTATTAGTCGACCGGTGTAACCTTAGTCAATTCCAATGGGTGAAGCTCAAATTCCATAAGCGTGTTAAATTTTATTGCGAATCTGAAAATGCTTTTTTGTGGTGGAAAATTTCAGACGCACAGACCGTACAAAACTTAAATATAAAAATAAAATAAACTTACATACATATAAATTAACTAAATTCCATTCCTCTAACTACTAACAATTGTATGGTATTTTCTTTATTGTTGTTGTTGTTTTTGTTGTTGTAACTGTACAAATATTTTCTTTTATTACCATAACACTACAGGTTGAAGCATTCATATGCCAGCGTAAAGTGGAAAATCTTGAAATTAAAGTGTTGGGATTCTTTCACCTCAACAATGAGTTCATCTTAGTCATTATATCGGCCATTATGTCTTACCTTTTTATACTAATTCAGTTCGCTTTGACAAGTAAGTACAAATATATGCATACATACATATACATATGTATGTATATTACATAAATATCTACAGTGTGGTGAATAAAAAAATGCACCTATATACATTTTTTCTGATTTTTATTGCTTATTTGTGTATTTATCTTGGTTCATCCTCACCTTTACTTCTATTAAAATTTTCTGAAACAGTAACCAGTCTTCAAAAGTAAATAAGAGAAATTTTCTTAAAAATGAGATTAAATGAAGTAAAAACATAACAAAAAATTAAATAAAAAATATATATATACATGTGTATGGCGCCACTGAAATTCAATAATTTTCTTTTATAAAAACTTTGTCTTAAACGAGAATCTGTGGAAGTATTCGAAATTCTATAGACAAGGTTAAGGAAATTCATATTATATACGAATATGTGTAGACCCACAGTTTATTCTAAGCCGCCCCCGGGAACGGTCGCTGGATTTTTATGAGGTCTTTCAATTACATGTAAGAAATATACTCGGGCAGTTTGACATTCTCTGCTGAGGCGATGATCACAATAAGATTTGTTTTAGATGTTGGTCGAACCAAGACTCGCACCCTGGTCTTCAGAATGGCAACACGCAATGCCAACCACTCGGCTATTGCGGCCGCCAAACAAATTCGTCTTAGTTCTTACACAAATTTATTGCTAAATTATGAGAGAATCTTTAAAATTAATCTCAGTAAAAAGGAGAAATCATTAAAAAATTAAATTGGTTCAATATGCGGTTGGTCTATATATGAAAAACAAGAAAGAAAAGTTGTTTTAATATTAATTCTTATAACTAAAAAAATCAGTTGTATGTAAGCCATATGATATAATCCTCCGATTTCATTGATTTTCGGTGACAATAGTTATTTGTACGGGGTTATCCATTTTGTTGTTTCAATAATAAACAAAAATGAATTGCATTTTTAATTTTTTTTTCATGAATTTCCTTTTTTATTATAAAATTTGAAAACTGCCATTATATTATATGTCAAACACTAGATCATTCAAATGCCCGTCTCGCGAATTTTTGCAGACTCCGATCGGTTAAAGGTGGTTTTCGACCACTTTTTGGCACATATTGAGCGATATTTCAGCCCTAACCTGGCGAAAGTTGGTTTACAAGTGCTCAAAAGTAAAAAGTAAAGCCGCATAAACAGGATACTTTACTTAGCTCCACAAAAAAGACCAACGATGGCGAATGGCATGATCTCGTTTATCTTAAGATCGCCAAGAAGTAAGATTACGCAGCCTGGAAATTTCACTCAAATCAAAACCATATTCGCTGGTGTTGTGTGGTATGTGGTAATATCTTGTTGTCGAGCAGATATTGTCCAAGTCGAGCTCTGTAATTGCAGGCCCAATAAAATCGGTTATCAACGTTATCCGAATTGAATGTGACAGGCTTAACGTTGTCGGTTTCATGGAATTTAAAGCGGAACCCTCCGTCGGACCAAAGAACCAAAAGTCGGTAGATTTTGTGATTTTTTTATTTTTGTGGTAATGGCCTCTCTTCAGTTAATTAAGTGTACTGTGAGTCCCACATCGGACAAATTTGCTTATTTACGAATTCCCCAAGTGAGAAATGTACCTCTTCGCTGAAGAAAGTTTTGTTCAAAAAATCGCTTTCCTCTGTCGACGTATGTACGACGTTGTGAATGGTGAGTTGTTATGTATATATATTGATGCAGGTGTAAGTCCAAATGTAAAATATGTCATAATGTGGAGTAAAAAAATCCAGCCCTTCAGACTGTCGAGAAATAGACATTTTCGGGTCTTCGGCAATACTTTCACTTCCAGCGGCAACATCTGAGGTGAAACGAGGAAAACAGTGATGCACAGGGCTTACAATATCTGTAGCCGATTCAGTCTCAGTTTGTCCCATTGCTGCAGCAGTTGGATGGTTATGTGCACCATAATCTCCTCTCAAAGTACGAAACGTGGCCACGTTTGAATCACAATTTAACGCATTGTCTGGTTCTTATATAAGAAAATTATTGCGTTTAACGAAATACTCTAATAATAATGGATCATATTGATGTTTCAAAAACAATTTTTAGTATAAAAAAATTTTGGAATTTTTTAATGTTGTGATGAGTTTTCTGAAGTGGCTGCAGCCGGAAGTTGTTGAAACGGTGCCGGTGATGGGAGGTCGTGCGATGCATCTGAAACAGTCTAAACAAATTGTTTTTTAATTCTTCTATATGAACTAATAAAATATCGAATAAGTTGGAAAATTCCAAAATTTTTTCGTAGTTTAAAACTTTACTTCAGCTGTAAATAAAAAATAGTTTAAATATTACTTTCGTTTAACTTTTTCAGTTCAAAAAGTGTATAATCTATCACTGAAATGATCTCACTTTGTTTTTTCTTCGGTTGAATATACATACATACATATGCAAATTCTTTTTGCTATCACTGCCACCGTTTTCTAAAAATTGTAAAAATTATAAATCGAGAAAACGAGTTCTTCGAAGCGATCGGCCACTAAAACTGTAATGTTAACATTGCGTACTGCAATTCGGAATACAAAAGTTATAAAAAATTAATTTAAATAAAAAATTTAGTTAAATTTTTTACTTGCGGTTGGAGCTTTGGCAGGGTATGTCAAACCCTCAGAGTGTATATCTGACATGAAGCAAAGCTCCTCATGAAAAAACCATCAGGAGCTCGACGGGAAAACGCTTCAGCGGTTACAAAGCGCCAATCATATATAAATTCTTCTATAGCTTTGGAATGGTTTTAAAAAAAAAATGCATTTTTGAAACCTGTAAAGCAGTATACTGCCTTAAGCGAATCATTTTCATAAATTTCTGACATTTAACTTATTTAAAAGCTTATTTGAAAAGCGCTTTTAGGCTTGCGCAGAAATGTAGGCAACATTTTCATCATCTTATTATAAAGAGTTCTTTACATTCTAGGCTTTTGCTAGAAATAAAAAAATTTTTAAAGAAATTGTGATAGAAAATCGGTTGACGTTTGTCATTCTTGAACTGCACTTTCAGAAAATCACAATAATGATTATTCTAAAGCCTGAAAGTCTTGTTCTGTCAGGGTATTAAAACTTACCATCCAGTAGATTTTGTTATTATTTCGTATTCACTGTCGCCGCTTAATAGGAGGTAACAAAGAATCTCTTGTTTGATTTGGTGTTGTTAATTTGAGAAAAAATAAAAATCAAAATTTATAGGCATATTTTACGTACGGAATTCATTGCGGATGCAGATAAAGTGCCAAAATGCAAGAAAGGTGCTTTCAAAAAAGTTTGCGAGGAAAAAATTACTCTTTTAATCTTTATTCAGTTCTTTTTTTCTTTTGGCGTCCTGGCATGTTTTCCATAATTCGGTTCAAATACCTAAGATTTAATAAACAAATTAATAGAATTTACTTATTTTGTTGCGCTCCATCTGCCGTTGCGTTGTGAATGTTCTTCTTCTTACTTTACCAACTGGTCGAAAAAGCAGGGCTGGCAAAGTTTCTTCAAGCATTGTGCGCTTTGTGCTAGAAAATCAAAGTACCAAACTTTACTTTACCGGTAACAGTTAGGATAGGCATGTAAGAGTTATTTCTTTTACCAATATCAATTTATGTCGATTAAAGGAAGGCAGAATGATTTTTAATAAATATTTTATAAATCGTGTAATTTAAGTATATTTTTCGTGGCAAATACTTATAAATGGTGAAATGTAAATTTTTCTCTAATTTTTTTTTTCCAACAGAACAACAATGAAAAGCTGCGCATGCGTGTCGACAAAACACCGAATGACAGCCAAAATTATGGAAGTAATTGCCCTGCGCGTGTTATGTACATACATACGTACAAGTATGTGGCAAGAAAGGAATTTGTACATTGTAACTAAATTTAAATTTGTATTGTTTTCACCAAACAACAGCACCTACATAATCGCATGCATACTTCTATGTAAACACATACATATGTACATACATACAAACACACTTAGCAGAGTTTGTACAATAGAATTTAATGAAATTCTGAAAATCTTGTAATTATCTTTTGTACAACAGTAATTTGTGTGACTTTAATGTTGAAATTGGCGCACAATAGACGCAAACATACAAATATACATACACGTAGATATGCACATGTGCGTGTAGATATTTAAATAACAAAAGTTAAAGCACAAAACTGAGGCTGCGACTGGCTAAAAGCTGATGCTGACGCTGATGTCGATGATTACGACACGCAACAGAGCGTAACGCACTTGTCACGCCTATTACTATTATTTGCAACGCTGAACTCAACGTACTGTGACCTTTGCGCTGCCGATTCGCGAGTGGCGATAATCGCGAGGCAGCACAAAAAAAAAAACACTAACAAAATGTGCCTTTTATGTGAGAATTTGTTCGCACAATTTGTATACATTTTTGCAAGTAAAATTTGGTAATTTCATTTAATGTGTACTTACATACATACATACATACATACATACGAGTATATGTACATACACCCATTGGCATTGGAAATTGTTGCCAATGTTATTGTTTTCAACTCAAAGCCATTGTTTGTTGTTGTTACACATCTTATTAATTCCGCCGACCTTCTCACTACGCCGCTGGCGCATGCGCGTAATGATAATGGAATTGTTGAGGTTGGTGGCGCAGTCAGGCAGACGGACAGACAGACAGGTCATCAGAGACGTAGGGGCAGGCACATCCGCACAAATTCCGCCATAAACAATAAAAGGAGTCACAAAAAAAAAAAGTAAACAAAAATAAGCAGCAACAACAACAAACTGTAATGCTAAAATGAAACAATGCACCAAATTAATTTTTCTATATCGCTGCGCTCTGCTGATTTAACCGTAGAAATTCAATATATGTATGTATGTAGGTACATATATGAGTATACGCCGCAAAGAAAAACAGAAGCGCTTGGCAAGGTACATACCTACGTATGTATGTATATGTATAACGCTGATTATAAACAGGAAAGGAATTTACATATGACTATAGAGCCATATACACACACACACATACATACAAACAAATCTTGATATGTAAATTCACATATGCAATAAACATATGCATATACGTGTATGTATGTATGTATATCTCAAAGTGATCTACATCTAATGAAAATATACAAAAACTCTCATACATACAACATCCGGCTGGGCGTCGAAGCGGAGCAGTGCAAATCACAACGTTAATTATCTGTCAGGAGCGCCTTCAGTACACTCCAAAACCATATATATATACACATATTTACATATACATATGTACACATATGTACTTACATACATACATATATGCGTGGGTCGTACTTAATCGGCCGTCGCCGAAAGAAATAGCCATCACAGCCCAACGTCTACACTTTGAGACGCCGTTACAGCCCACAAAGCGGTAAGCACATCCATCCAACGGACTACAGACAACAAGCAGCAACAGCTATCAACTGGCGGCCACCAGTCACCAGCCGCCAGCCGCCAGCCACCAGCCGCCAGGCATTGACCCATCACTTGAAGTTTATGGAAGCGTTGAAGGCTCTGAAATTAATTACATTGCTTGCAGACATACATATATTGACATACATATGTATATATGTATATAAAGAGAAAATAATCAACATTTGGGAAATTAATTTTCCAACAAAAAAAAAAATAAATAAAAGGAGTTGTCTGCACCCTTTACACATTCAAGTGATAAACTTTTCTGGGCACAAATATATTTTTATATACATACTTACACATTCATTCATACATACCTATATATAAATGTAGTAAATGCATGCCTACTTAAATACTTGCTTTCATAGATAAGTATATTGCATTTGATTACCTCTATATGTATGTATGTATGTATGTATGTATGTATATCTGCATTTGCTTGCAGACAACGCGCTCATAGCTTTTAAGATGCTTAACAAATATTTAAAGAGCTAAACATAAGAAGAGGCCGCCGCCCTAAACAGCGTGGAGCAGCGACATTACAGCAACATTCCGGTAGCTGGTAATTAGAAACAAAGGACGCAGGACGGTCTGCCGACAAAAGTAACTAAAAAAGATTAATTTCATATCAAACCGTTGATTTACTTTGTGTCTTTCAAATAATTATTTTAATTATTTATTCGTTGCTGTCTCTTAAAGCGGGTTTCTAAGAATCAGGAGTCAATAAAAAAGCAAACTTAAGTTATTTCTTAGCTGGCACATTTGCCAATGGTGGCAGAGGGGGACGTCCTCGTAATTTGTTTGACGATTTCCTTTCTCTGTTGGGCTTTTGGTGAGAGGGTATATACATACAAATGTAGGTACTTTATGTTGATGGGTCTTTTCATAGACAAAGAATGCATTCATTCTTAAGAAGTATATATTGAGAAGAATATATTCACTTTCTAACCGCTGAAGCGACTTCCGGCAGAGGTCCTCTTCTAATTTGCGGTGTGCATCCTAAAGCTTTTCCAACAAATGGGGAGACCTGCACTTGGGTCCCGTTTCATGCGGATGTAGAAAGTAACGAAAAGGCTGTGAGCTTCAACTGTCTCAGGTCCTTAAGTACCTTCAAATCTTGGTTAAGGGAGTGGACCCCATAGAAACATTTAATGTCCTTGAGCACATGGCTCGATATCGAACAAATAGGAGAGGTTCCCGTCATCATGATTGAGATTTTGGTGCTGCTCAGCGTTGTTTGTGTTCAGGGGAAACCAAATGAAGACACAGCGCATTGAGATAACTTCTTTTCGTGCTATCTAAGGAAGCTTTTAAATCGAAAAACACCACCTCTTGCCGATCTTTTTGTTATGGATATTTTCAAACCTCCGGCCCACTATTAATATCTTGAATTCACTTTTAAAGTCCAAAGCCTATATTGACTGTGAGCTCGATAAGATCTTATATGTGATATTGAGGAGGCCTTTCCAAGGATAATTGGCGCAGACTCACTTCTAATTGTGGTGCTTGCTTTGGACCAACGTTATTCTGCAGAGAAACTGATGATGTCCATACTTTGTGAGTTTTTCGTCGCCTTATATGAGTAGCTCATTCGATAAATCTTTGGCTCCCACCGCTTTGTTGTTCTTCTGTTGAGTGATCGCTATTCGTACATCGACATGTTCGAGTACTGGAGGGACATTACCATCGTAGCTGATTGGGAATTCGGGTTCTCTAGCTCCGGAAGCTTTACTTTCATAGTCATTCAGCAGGATGAAGTACTATTATCTTCATTCAGCATAATTTCAACATCAGTCGCTATTACATCTTCGGTTCCTACAAAAGTATATTCCGCCTTTGAAACTTTCTTCAAGTCGACGAATTTTTTACAGAAATCTCGAGCATTACCCTTGTTCGCCAGCCTTTTGAGTTATTTATACTCCTGCATGTCGGCCTCTCGCTCATTCTATCTGCAAATGCGTCTCGCTTTCTTCTTCAATTATCGGTATCCCCCCCCAACACAGCGCGCGTTGAGATCCCTCGTAAAGTTGCAAGATAGTGTACGTAAGGATCTCAAAAAGTCGTCCCACAGTTCCCACATACCGACATGCATGCAACTATCAAGGATTTCTTCCCTAAAGCAATCAACCTGTAAAGGGTGATACATTTCGAAAAAAACACAGGAAATTCAAATTTAATGGGGAATGGTTATTATCGTTCGAAAGAACTTTCTTTCTCATTTATTTTTTAATATTTTATTTCCAAATATTAGCCGCGAAAAATTCTAACGGTGTGATATCACACGATCTTAGTGGCCAATTGATTGTCCCAAAACGTGAAATTATTTGCTCACTGAAGTGTTCTCTCAATAAATCCAACAATTGATGCGATGTGTGGGTTTCTTGTTGAAACCAAATGCCGCCAAGATCACGATCTCTGTAGCCATGGGCCGATGATTCCGCCGGTTCATCAACCACACCAAACCGTTGCTTTGTCTAGAATATCTTCCGGTTGCACTTCGTCCCAAATGCGCTAATTTTGCTTGTTTAAAAGCCCATTGAGCCATAAATGAGCCTCATCGTTGAACAAATTTTGGCTCGACAACGTCAAATCTTCTTCGAACTTTTCGAGAGTCCATGGAGCGAAGCGAAGATCTGGTCGTAAAATGCGCCTAATCGTTCCATACTCCAGTCCGAGTTGCTGCGAACGGTGCCGGATTGATTCTCTACAGTCTTCGGGTCTACTACAGCCGCTATATTTTCTTCACTGCATACTGGACGTAGTCTATTCGGTCGAATATTATCCAACAATGAATGCCGGGGACTCAAAATATGTGATGGTGTGCGGATAGAATGCTCAGTAGGCCAAATATGTTGACCATAAGTTGAGTTGAGCCAAGCGCGTGAATTTTCGTAATAAAGTTGAACGATTTGTAAACGTTGTTCAAGCGTAGGTCTTTCTATGATGAAATGCCCAAGACTACTTCTTGACAGTCTCAAGAGCTAGTTCATTATGGCACATTTTGCACACAACAACTGAAACCATTGGGTGCTTGAACAACAGGCAGTGGGCGAAGATTGTGAAAACAAAATTATCTTCAGTATGGCGAGGCACATTTCTCACTTAAGCAAAATTATCTCATTTGGTGGCCCGAGAATACTCAAATAATTGAAGAGAGGTCACTACACCTAAAAAAACTCACTGTGTGGTGCGTTTTTAGGTATGAGTCGGCCCTACTTCTTTGAAAACGATGACGTCGAGACTGTCACCGTCAATTCGGAATGATATCGTCGTATAATAATCGACTTTTTTATCTGCAACAGGAGAATACGATTTGGACTTC